TAAGTTGGTTCATAAAAATGTTGTCTTTTGAAGAGAGACCAGGTGCATGCTGCAAAGCAACACTGATTTGTATGGAATTGAAAGAGGGGGCATGTAAATGTTGTTCTGGAGAACGTTCTTTAGTCGTTCACAATTATATCAAAAACAACCGTGGAGTGCAAGTCACTCTCGTGTCTCTGACTTTACATCTGTCTCTTGTTTGTCTCATCCTGCTCAATCTTTTTTTTCTTTTAATGGGATATTGACACATTCACACAGGTACACAGACACACACGCACAGAGCCATAACACCAAATAAATTCCAATAACATACTCTCAAGAGATTGTTAGCTTTGGTGTGGTTGTTAAAATAAGCATACGCAATTTATATTAATAAAAATAAAGGTTTGTGATCTGAGGTTGCTTGAGCACGTTATTCTGTTCTCTCTGTTTATATGTGTGTGGGTGTGTATGGCTGGTTTTGGCATAGAGTTTGTGGGTAATTGAGATGCTTGTGAGGCTATTTTAAAAAGTTTGTGCAAAAAAACAAATGTAGGGAACCACTGCGTTATTGTATGTTTGAAAAAGATCTTTTTTAGTAACTGCAGTAGCCACTGGTTTGATCAGAGGTTAAATAAAAGTACATTCTTACGTGACAATTGTCTTTGTTTCTGGTAACTTTGAAATGTTTTTTCTTTGTGAACTCCTAAATGTAAAAAGAGCTTTAAATTATACTTTAAATATATATTTTTTTTTTTTTTTTTTGGAGAGTGGGTGGCCTTCAGGTAAGAATTTTATACCTCTAACTCTATAGCAATGCTATAGGCTCATTTCACTTTCCACTATCAGGTAGGAAAGTGAACTCCTTGTCATTGTGACACAGCACATCATTGCACACAACGAAATGTGACCTCTGCTTTTAACCTATCACCAAAGTGAACAGTGGGCAGCTTTAATCGCCCAGGCAGCAGTGTGTGGGAACTCAGAGCACCTCAGTGGTAACTTAGCCGCTGGAGGACTCAAACCTGAAGCCTTCCGGACCCAAATCTGCTTCCTTAACCACCACTGCCGCTACCTTCACAGGTAAAGTGAGACTAACCAATACCGATTTTTGCAGATTCTAATTTCACTGAATTGATATACAAAAAGTAGTGTTCTTCAACTCAAATGTGTTCTCTCAAAACTAGTAATTATGAAACATTTACCAAAAATGTTTCCTATGGAGAAGGAAACAATTGTGGGGAAACTGAAGAGAAAACCTGTGACTGGGTAACTGGAATCAGGTACTAAATAAATTGAATTCCTTTGCTTTTACAAAAATTTCTTTTGCAAACTTTGTCCTTTTTAAAGTGGATAAATACAATGGATAAGAGACAACCAGAAGGGCTTGTAACTGTCAGCATATACAAGGCCAAGTGATATTTCTTCATCTGCCACATGCCCTGCCAAACTAAACAAATGCTCGCATGACTAGAAACAGCTTCAGTTATGCTACCTCAAAAAAGAAAGAAAGAAAGAAAGAAAGAAAGAAAGAAAGAAAGAAAGAAAGAAAGAAAGAAAAAGAATGAATGAAAGAAAGAAATAGGGAGAGAGATATCTTTTAGGGGAATCTTACTTATTTTAAGAAATTGACATGACAGAACATCACACCCTACCCTCTTTATTCTATTGTATAATTAATAATACTAATTAGGGATGCACTGAATATTCAGCAACTTTATCAGTGACTTTTATCACTGAAACAAAACAGTCAAAACAGGAAGTTAAAACCGCGGCCAGCACGGTCTTGTCTGAAAATGCCAACAAGTCTATCTGCAGTCTGGATGCATTTCAATAATATATCTGACAAAGACCCACAGATAGAGTTTGCAAAATGTGTAATGCCGAAATTTAAAAATTTTTACGAGGGGGTGCATCTGCAAATAATTTCTCCACGTCAGGTTTAATTTATTACCTGAAATCCAAACATCCCGATCGCTATGCTATGAGAAGAAGGAAAGCCTCTTTGCGCAAAAGTGAGTTTAAGACCAGTGGGTCTTACTATAGAACATTATCTCTCTTCTTCCCCCATTTGAGCAGCTAACTAAAGAGATCAGCTTCTCTGATGCATCTGTAGCAGATGTTATTCCTTTAATCGCAGCACTAATGTGTCTTCTAAGCAGAGGTTGGGACAGACCATGGAGTGAAAACAATGAAAAGTACACTCATATAGTCTGTCAGCACACGTTTCACTGAAATCTTGTCGTGACTGTACTTGATCCGTGTTATAAAAGTCATTACGTGGATGTGGGAATAAAGCAGCGCACACCAGAAATTATCCTGCAGTTAACTTAAATGTACTTTATTACTGTTTTACTGTTTTTATACTGTTTTTATGAGAAAACATATTTAATTATACAATTTTTTAAGCAGGCCAGTACATTATCATCTAATGTACACATAGGTGGGGTCAAGTTTAACATTTTATTTTGAATTTTATTTTATTTTATATTGTGCATTGATGGAATGTGCTAAATCATTTTTGCTCATAATTTTGTAATATTAATAAGAGATTCACTTTGATTTTAGCACAGCGCATCATCAGAAAATGATAAAATAAATATAAACTTATGTATTCATAGTGCGTACAGAACTGAGACAACTGTATCTAACAGTTATATGAATATATGTACTTGTATCTCTACAGTAGCAGGAAACAGATATTTGTAACCTGCATTTTCCTTAATTACAACTAATGCTGTAATAGGATACAAAGTGCAGTTGTGTATATGCACTAAAAATGCATCGATGTATACAATATGTTAAACATTTTAAATATGCTAGTACAATTTTTTTGGGGGGGAAACTCTTTAAGTTTAAGTTAAAGTTAATTATATATACATATATACTTACACATAGACATGCATACATATAATATATATAATATATAAGTATATATGCATACTGTATAAAGATACATATACATATGCATGTATATATGTATATATATGTATGTACTGTATGTATACGTGTATATAAATTTACATATATACACATATACCTCACATTTGCAAAGGAGGGGCCCATTTTGATGAGGGCACTAAGTGCAATGTATATTAGCTCCTTAATAAAGGAAAGGAAAGGAAAGTGAACTCTTTGACACTGTGACACACATCACTGCACACAACGAAATGTGACCTCTGCATTTAACCCATCACCAAAGTAAACAGTGGGCAGCTTTTTTTGAGCTTTTTTTGAACCTGCAGCCTTCCGGACCCAAGTCCGCTTCCACTAAGCCACCACTGCCCCCATAATAGTGCCTATTATGTGTTATTCTAGAGTTTTTTTTTCAATTACTACATTTGTTGGTGTTGTATTTATATTTAATATTTTTTGTGTTTCACTTTTAAACGGCATTTTGGTCCACTGTGTTTTTGTGAAAATCCAAAAAGGGCCAGGGGGCGGGGATTGGGTTGGTTTCAGAGGCTGGGGAGGGCCTACCAAAATCTTGCTTTGGGCCTCTGTAGCGGGCTCTAGGGGAAGCCCTGCATACATACAAACATATAGACAAACATACATACAGTACTGTACATATTCTCATACACATACATACATACATACATACATACATACATACATACATACATACATAAACCTAGTTTGTTCTGGAAAAATATTTTAGATTAAATCAAATTATGCTGATTAAAAAAATGTTTTTGCTTTTTAGATAACCCTTTCTGTAATCCATTATCCTTTTTACGAATAGTCAAGTGGTGAAAACAGAATTAGAAAGAGAAGAAAACATTATCGCCATTGACAAAAAGCCATGACAAAGTTGCCATATTTCCGACAGTTTCTGTTTCATGAACGTCACATGCTGACATGCAATCGATCATAGAAACTTCGCATACCAGTATTTCCTGACAAGCCCTGAACAAACCATGCAACCGTCGTAAAAAAACACACTTTATCTATGTAGTAGTTGATGCCTTAACGCTTTTTTTTACTGTGAAGAGTAAGCTAGAGTCTGTAAACCGCCTAACTTGTACAAATAAATGGTCAGTTTGCACAATTACGTCAAAAAGCCATGTCACATACGTTTGTTTAGTTAAAATTACACACTCGAGTGTATACAGCTCTCGAACCATGTCTTTCAGTTACTTGTGATGTGTGAAGGCGCTTCGTTGTGTTGTTTTGTGCAGTAGATATGATTTACCGTCGCCCAATGGTGCCAATGCATAAGCGATAGCAAAGTTAGTAGACTGTTATTTCTCTCAACTTTAAGAGTTCCAAAGTAAAAGTGAAACATAAGCTGTCCAACTAGCGTTGTCATATGCTGCTGAATTCAGTTAAGTGTTTACAGTGTGAGAATCCATAACTCGGGCCCATAACCCCGCATTTAAGAAAGCTAGCTCCGGTATGCGCTGTTCTCTTGGACTGTCAGAACCTCAGCCGTAATTTGCAACGACTTCGTTCTCATCGGGTTTACGCAAACACTGAGGAGCTCTCACAACAACTTCAGACTCCTTTATGGGGGTGTTATAAGACTTAGTTTCATTCGGCTGAAAAAAAAACCCCGTCTATTAATAATAAAATGTTAACTTTTTGAATTGTTTCCTCTCCTCTTCCTGTTATCTCGATAGCCAAAACACAACCGAGGGCGTAAAGGAGGCGACATTTACCACACACTAAGTTAGAATCAGCAGTATTTACTGCACCAAGAACAATTTGTTCCCTGGATTGTCAGATTTACAGATATATCTAGGCAGTGTTTAGTGCTTAAACCATGTGCCGGTTAGCAAGGCAGCACTGAGTCACAAAATTTGAATGGCGTTCAGCAAATGCCGTTCCCTGCACTTGATATGAACACACGTCAAAATCCGTGTTGAAAGGGTGAACACTGACGTGAATTGTTTCCTTATGTGAGCGGAATGCACGCGTACATCGCTGCCAGTCTATCAACTGTCCACTTTGTGGCAGAGCTGTCATTGGCAAACACTTTCGTCAAACAGTAAAATGTGGGGGAAAATAGATAAACATACCTCGTACGCAAGACGAAGCTCGTAGCGCTGGGATTATTAAGGGTCCCTGTGTGAGTACATTCCTCAAGAGCTGTAGAAGATCTCTGTGGGCTAAAGTGAACAAGACGCAGCGGCAGCGTTTACCTGAAATGACCCGCACTAGTGCGACTAAGGCGAGCGAGTGTGTCTGAGTCTGTACTCTGTCTTCGTGTGTCAGTGTGTGTCAGAGAGAGCTAACAGTGTGTGGGGGAGGGAGGGGACTTTGACATGGAGCCGAAAACAAATACAAAAAGTAATAATATGGCACTAGTACACAAGTAAATGAACAAAATTAAACTGAGAGCGATAGTGGGCGATACCGGAATTTCTTATTTGATACGTTACCAATTACCTTTTTGGCAGCTTTTTTTCCCCAAAAAACTTTGTTGTTTTTGTTGTTGTAGTTTTCATAACATGAATGAATGTAACCTAAATAATGCCATTGCTGCCATTAAGGGACAAAAATGTCTAGCTGACATGATAACATGGAGTCACTACCGTCTTCTGGTAAGTGGTCACGTAATATGAATGGATCAGTTCAACTTGTTACTGCGAGGGTCAATCAATACTTTATGAGAGTAATCAATACACATGTGATTATCAATACCACAGAATCAATACTCCCATCGCTACCATCCCAACCTCTGCAACACCAATTACCCCAGTCCAACCTCTGTAACTCTCTCTAACACATGCGTGGGCAAACCTTTTGACTTGCGGGTCACAGTTGTCCTAAACTATGAGAGGGAAATGGCAGAAGTATAATCAAAATACAAACCAATTATATAAATTGGACAAGTTTGGCAGGCCGGATTACAAAGCTAAACGGGCCGCATCTGGCACCTTAGTTTGCTCATGCCTGGTCTAACAGTTCTCTTAATTAAAATAAATTGGACTTAACCATGCATTTATTCTGTACATCAAAGTTTAAACTACTGTCAGTTACAGTTTTACACCCAGGTTTGTTACTGTCCATGTCGGATACTGGCTTAGAGGAGCCGGATAAACATTAGCTATGGGAGCATAGCTAATGTTGAGGCCCATACAACTTGACTATGTTTTTGCTGGTGGTGCTGAAGGATGTACAACAGAGTGTTACAGTCTCATACTCTGCTCATTAATTTAATATTATAATTTTAAATATGAATTGTGCCTAAATATTTTGCATATGTATTTGCTATTTGAAACTAAATAATAAAAAGTAAAATGCTAGAACATGATAGTAAATAACATTAACAGCAACATTCCTCATCTAGATTCTGCTTACCAATTCCTACTGGAATGCACTCCACTGGATGTATTTGACATCACATGCATGCATCCTAATTTGAGAATGACATGGCCCGAAGTATGAGTGTATTTCATGAAAAAGAGACTATATTAGTTCGCAAGGAAATTCACACAGCATGCAGAAACACTTCCACACACACCATTAAATTAATTTATGTATTCTGTAATCCATACACCATGAGGCCATCACAGAATTTTCTATCCTAAAGATTCATTGTAACACATTGAATCTATTTATGTTGTGCCCTCTGTTATTGTGAACCTGTGTCAATGACTTTTATCAAGCTGCTTTTATGAATAAGGTCCATCCCCTTTAATTACACTTTGATAATGAGAATGAGTTTGTGGGGCATCCAGTCGAGTGTGTTACTACATCTGTAAAGCGAAGTCACAATTATACAAACATACCCACGGTCCAAAACCAGCCTGCTAGGGGGTTCAAGCCAGCCCACTTAAAGAATTTTTAAAACTTTGTGTTTGGTTTAAAGGGAAAGCATGGACTCATTGTTATTTATAGGTAATTATGTTTTGGTTTTACTGGTCCAGCCCACTTGACATCAAATGAGGCTGTATGTGGCCCCTCAAAAAAAACAACATCTAGAAGAAAGAGAAATGGATAGAGTAATAGATAGACAAACAGACAGATAGATAGACAGACAGATAGATAGATAGATAGATAGATAGATAGATGATAATCCACTTCAGTTGACAAAACTGATTCAAACAAGTATCCTTTCTTTCTGTTCAATTGCAGAGTATTAAAAGCAATTCTAAGTGAAACATAAACCTTGCTTATTTCTGTCAGATTATTATTATTATTGTGAAGTCACAAACAAATCAAATGGCATAGTCTTTCCCAGTTGCAGTTCAATAAATTGTCAAGTCAGATGGCTGCATTTAAGTTAATCATTAGCGAAAGGGTTTAAAAGCATATAGTACCTTGGATGACACTGTTCCCTAGCTTCGAACCTGTTCTGCGACCTTATATAACCTGAGTCCTGTATGTTTAACCTGGATGTTTTCCAACTGGGTAAAATGGCATTTGTGGTTTGTAATTTATGTGTGGGAGTGGATGTTTCCTAAAGCAACCACAAATATTACTGCGCACATTTACTGTATTTTAACACAACATTAGTTTAATATTGGAAATCAGAAAAACCACAAGTCCATATTCTGTAGGCAAAGTAATTTTGTAATTATTAAGTAATTATTTGCACCCCCGCCCCCGGTTCATAAGAAAAATCGTTGCCCCCACCCAAAGAAAACAAGACAAAGCAGAACACACAAACACAGATTTTAGTTTTTAGCACAAATTATTCACTTGGCAGCATGTTTCGGGCATCAACTTGCATTTCCAGGCATTTCTGGGACTTTTTACTTTTTTGCATTTTTTCCATGATAGTAAGATTATAGTTGCTTTGTGTTTACGTTGGAGTTCCGTCAGAAACATTTTATACTAGCATTACCACAGACACAGATTATTATCATTATTATTATTATGCCAGTCTCATGTTAAATGTTTACAGCATTTGGACAATATGCTGTGTTATGTTTCATTCATTCATTCAATCTGCGCCCTTAACCTCTGAATTAGTCAATAATGACTATGATGTCACTTTTGTTAATTGTTATCACCGACAAAAAACATCATCATACTGTAGATAGTATACAATATGTACTGTACACACTTTACAGAGAATACATCACAGTCAAAGCTCTGACTAAATGTCAGCACCTCATACAATCACATTCCAAAAACCCAACGTGTCCCTTTAAAATTGTGCCTTCGTCAGTTTCATGTATTGTTTTGACAGACTGCAGTAGGTAACAGAAGTGTTTCAATCTAAAATGCTCCATTTGCCTCAGGCGCCCTTTTCAAAGCAAGTTTTTCTTGTTTATTTGTGCTTTGCCTGAGGTCTTTTGACGCAAAACAAAGCAAATAGTGACGTGTTGGCAGACAATCTTAGAGCCTGCTCTCCGTCTGTAGTCTTCTCCACCTTAGACCATAAAATATCCATATATATTTGTGTGCAGCTGAGAGGCCACTCCCTCACAACACTGGAGCATTTTGTTCTGGGCGCTGCCAGAAAACATAAGCGCTCTAGATCAGATCAGGGCAGATCTGTACACATACTTAGTAACACGCACACTCTGTAGACCCACCAACATGGACACACATAGTCCTATTGTGTCTTAACAGTAAGTTGCAAAAATTGCACTTGATCACATTGTTGTCAGTCCCTCCAGGATTTTGCAGCAAACCTTTATGATTGTTGTGGCCAAAAAATCTATTTTGCTTCTCAAAATATTTCAATAAAAGTTTGAAAGCAGTCGAAGAAGAATAACAATGTTACATTACAAAACTAAAACTAAAACAACAACAGCAATGCAAAGAGTTTAGTTCAGGTGTGGACTAACTTTTTGACTTGCGGGCCACAATTGAACAGGGGGGCCGGGTCAGGAGTAGATAAATGGAGTGTTCACAAAGATAAATGACATGTAAAAGTCATGCATAAAGGCTAAAATGCTTTTATAATTTTTTACGCCATCTATTGGGGAAACGTGTGTATCGCAGGGAAAAGGCAGAAGTATAATGATAATATAAATTATATTATTTGAAAAGGGTTGGGGGGCCTGATTAATAAGATGAACGGGCTACACTGGCCCCCGGGCCTTAGTTTCCCCATGCCTGTATTAGTTAAATATCAGTTAACGTAAGCCAGAGATTCTCAAAGTGGGGGGCGCAGTGCATTTGCAATACATGGCAGATATTCATTTCACACCATCTTCAACCAATCAATTTTTAACCAGTCTCTTGTTAAACATTTACAGCATTGGCCAATATACTGCATAACACTTCATTCATTCTATCCACATCCCCCCCTGCAATGGCACTGCGCTCCCTTTAGGACGAGTGCCCCACACTTTGGCATATTTCCACACACTTTAGGCCACTTCCATTACACACCTTTTCCAAGATTGCTTGCTAAAGTGCACCAGTATGTGTCAGTACTGAAAAATGGATTAGCAAAATTTACATCTCAATGTTAATGTGGTATTAAGTGTTAGAGCATTCCACAAGACAAATACCTTGGTTTATGGTACAAGCAATGGATGCCTAATGAAGTGTCCAGCGGAAGTGTATTTCTGTTATTTATCTATAAGCCCACTACAACTACACTATAATCCTGTGTCTGTGGGTTCACGCGAGGACACACTGACTCGTCAGCCGCAGAGGAGCAGAGGGTCGGTACAGCTCAAAACAGATGCAGATTTCATGTCAGCTCTCCAAAATATGTCATTACAACAGCTGGCCACCATTGACCATTGTATTCGTCTCTCTCCCCCGTCCTTCAATCTTTCCTTAATTTTTTTTTGTCTCTATGCCTTAAACCCTCCATTTGAGATGCCAATTCCATTTTTTCTAGAACCTTCACTCTAAACTGTTATATACACATTTGACTTCACGTTTACAAATTAATGAATTAATATATTAACTCGTTTTTTTAAAATGTAGGGATTAATTTGGTTCCTTGCCAAATTACGTCAGCATAAACTCCCACAGTCTTTGCTGCCACCAAGCGGACTGTTGTAGGAACTGTCCAAGATGAGAAGGAAATAAGAATTACAAAGAAATGGTGACACGAGAAAATATTAATTCATGCGTTAACGTTAAAAATAGCGTAAAAAGCGTTGATAATTTAGTATTTACACACAATCTTTATTTATGGTGCTTTGCTATTATAAGAAAACGGCATGTAATTTTATATTTGCGCCATCTTTTGTCGCCCTGTGCTACATAGAGGATATATTTGATTTTCATTTTTTTAGAATTTATTTTCTGAACTTACTTTCG